CGAACCAAATCACTCCACCTTCCACCTTCTCAAAACCTTCATGTACCACAGAGTTTAAAGAGGTGAAACAAAACCGGTATTTACATCTGCCTAGAGAGTAGATCTTACAAAGCTCATCTGATGTTTAAGATGCTTACAAGATTAATTACTTTCACTCAACTAAGTCAACAAAAGTAACCAAAGGAGTAAGTTCCATGGAAATGAGGTGCTTTGAAAGGAAGAATCAGGTCTGGTCGCCAACACACCAAGCTGGGTCCAGCTCCTTCATCTGCAAGGCCAACCCATCCCAACCCATTCTGTTAAGAGCAGAATGCTAGCCACAGACCCAATCTGACTCTTTTCTAGTAGTCCCACTTAAAGAAGTAAAAAGAAACTGTAAGATTAATATAAAAAAATTAATTAATTTAATGCCCAACAAATAAATGAAAAGATGTTCAACATGACTAACCATTAGGGAGCTGCGAATCTAAACCACAAGGAGTTATCACCTGACTCCTGTTAAAATGGCTCTTATCAAAAAAAGGTAACATGCTGGTTGACGATGTAGAGAAAAGGAATACTGATGGTGGGAATGTAAATCAGTGCAGTCACTGTGGAAAATAGTGTGGAGGTCCCTTAAAAAACTAAAAATAGATCTACTGCAGGACCCAGCCATCCCACTTTTGGGTACGTATCTGAAAGAATGGAAAGTAAGATCTCAGACATATTCACGTCCATCTTCACAGCAGTATTATTCACAACAGCCAAGAGATGAAAGCAGCCCAATGTTCACCAACAGATGAATGGATAAAGAAAACGTGGTTTATACATACGATGGAATCTGACTCAGCCTTAAAAAGGAAGGAAATCTGGTTCATGGACTACAGTGTGGATGACTCCTCAGGACATTATGCTAAATGAGATAAGCCAGTCAGAAAAAGTCAAATACTGTGTAACTCCACTCACATGAGGCACTTAATTAGAGTCACCAAAAATCACAAAGGTAGAATGGTGGCTGCCAAGAGCTGGGTGGGAGAGAGAAACGGGGAGGTGCTTTAACGGCTACCAAGGTTCAGTTGTGCACGACAAGAAAGCTCTAAGAACTGGCTACACAGCAATGCGAAGATACTCAACATGACTAAAAGTATTCTCAGAAATAGTTAAGATGGTATGCTTCGTGTTTATTACGATAAAAAGAGTATATATAATTAAACCCAATATATTCAAAATATCTCAGCATACAATTCATGTAAAAAAGCCTGAGACTCTTTACTTTCTTTTTTAGATGCTGAACCTACAGACCCCAGGCAGCGCGGACACCGAGCGCATCTCTCGGTCTGCACTGGGCCCACTGCAGCTGCTCTCCTCCCGCCACTTCCCCGCTGCCCGCTGAGCTCCACCACACCCATCACTCCCACAGAAACCGGGGACAGCCGGATCTACATAACAAAACCTCTTTTTAACAGGCATGGGGAGGATCATCTTCCTGCAGAGGCTTTTTGGGAAATCTTATTTATCCCTGGTCAGCTCTATGGAAGGGCAAAGCTTGAATGACTCTGAACATCCTCCAAGCACCTCCTGCTCCTCTCCAGGCCGCATCAGGGCCTTCAGGATGTCACGTCCCTGCTCAGAGAGCTCACAGTTTAAAAGAGGGGCCAGTTCCCAGCTATAAGCATCGCAGGCACAAGATGCTAAGGGATGGACTTGAAGAACAACTCAATTAACTCCCACCAGTGGATTTTAATGTGCCAGGAACAAGTATAATGTAAGTCATTTACCAAAAAAAGTATGGGAGCTTTGATAACTAGCATTCACCTATACTCAACCTTTCCCAGCTCTGATTCGCAACTGCTTCGACTTCGTCTTCAAAGCATGAACCTGTACAGAATTTAGTGCACATCTGAATTAAACACATCCATGGCATAAGCACACTCTCCAGAAAAGGCACTCTGCAAATCAACACCTCTGTTGGTGATTCTGATGAGAATACACAGCTCACTAATTTAAGATAGCATTAGCCAAGTCAATCCTCCCAGGGGGTAAAGAGAATAAAATTTTGTAAAAGTGAAAAAACTGTCTCTCTTAAAAACATTTTTTGAACATATCTTCAGAAAAATTGAGGACCAGGAGGACAAGAGAAAGACATTTCTTGCTCAAACATCTGTTGTATATCTTAGACAAGACTTTACTTTCTCAGGACAAAACCGCAACATACAGGCTCTCCACGCCCAGTCACTCAGCAGAAAGCTGTTCATGGGCCAGAGGAAGCCCTAAGGAAGGACCTCTTTCTAACCTCCCATTTGTGCTGTGCTGGTTAAAACCAGTCATAATGACCTCTTTGTGAAAAATGTACTTTGCAACAAGTTATCAAAAGCTTCATTGAACATCTTAATGGGTATGGCTGAGCAAGGAGTACTACTCATGGCCATGCTGAGAGAACGCAAGTTGATCAACTCATGGTATTGAAGTGGTCCCCAGGCACTGAAGTATTTTAAGAATAGCCAGGAAAAAAAGTTACAGACTATGCAAGATGCAACTTTTATTCTTTAACATACTGACATCTTAACCCTCTCCCCCCATCAGTAATTCACTCCCATCCCAATAAATCTCCCAAGAACTTAATACTGAAAACTTAACTTGGTGCATTAACTTCAGACAAACTCCTCTAAACTTATCACTTAATCCTATGCATTAACCTCTAAGTTATCACACCAATCTGTGGGAATGCAGTTAATACTATAAAATTACACTTCAGGATCCATTACTTTATACTTCACAGGTAGAACCATAACTTCGCTTAATAATTTAGATTGTGATCTCGCTAAAGCTCTACATCTGTCATCTCAAGTAACGGTGCTTACCTTATAATTAGCTTGCTAAACATCACCAGAAAGAGCACTCATGCCCATCCCTACTTAAACAAAAACATAAAACTACCGCACCCACTATTCCTGGTTGAAGGATGAATATTCCAGGCAATGAGAAGCTATTTCCATGCATTAAGCTACTTGCAGAAACTGATACAAAGGTCTGCAGGGGGAAACTATAATAGCTTCTGAAGGATCCTTCAAAAAAAAAAGCATGGGGTTTTTAAACACCCACAAACTTCCCTGGCGGCTCAGATGGTAAAGGATCTGTCTACAACGCAGGAAACCTGGGTTCCATCCCTGGGTCAGGAAGATCCCCTAGAGAAGGGAATGCCTCTCACTCCAGTATTCTTGCTTGGAGAACTCCATGGACAGAGCCTGGCTGGGCTACAGTCCATGGGGTCACCAAGAGTCAGACACGACTGAGCGACTAACACTTTTCACATTTTCATTTAAACATGAACACTGTAAAACCCCATTAACTCATTTAGTAACTCATTTACCTATAGATGCTCCTATAGTCAAGAGCGTTTTCAAGGGCAGAAAAACATATGCAAACACCAAGACCTTCTAAGGCCGAAATGAACTGGGGAATAGCAATATCTACCATAGTAAAACTTCCAGCCCCTTTCCCTAAGGAAGGGGTCCTAATAAAGCACTCTCAGCACTCAGCAGGAGGTGAGCAGCCAACACGTACAGCTGCTGGCGCTTCTGTCACGTGTCTGTCACTTCCCAGGTGTGCCCGACTTCTGAGGTTCTTTCTAATTCTGCAACGCGAGGAACGAGCAGCACGGCTTATCCCACTGAAGGTTAAAAAGACAGAGCACCGCGGCATTTGCGAAACTAAGATTTGCCCTTGTGGTCCAGCAATCACATGTCTGCCCTGATGATTTCATTTTAATTAGCTTCTGACACGGTGTCACCTGTGCTTTAAACAGAACCTATGCTGAATTGCTTAATCCTTAATGCTGCCAACTTACTTGTATCTCAACACAGAAGAACTAATCTGGATAAATGATAAGTGAGATTCTGGTGAATCCTAATCAAGAACAGAACCTTTCCCACTAAACAGTGATTTGAACCAACCCGTGTACCCGCTGATTAGGGTGGCTGGAACTGCATATACTCAAAGTCATATGCTGGAAGCTCAACTGGTCAAATCGAGCCCACAGATGTTTTTATGTGGCTTGTACAGTGCTTTCAAAGTTCTAAATGAGTTGCACTGTTTAATAATCAGATTACAGACATCAAGCTCTGCATTCTCAGACTATCTGGCCCTACAGGAAAACCTCCAGCGGATCTTCCTCACCCAGTTATCAAACCTGGGTCTCCTGCATTGCAGGCAGATTCTTAACCATCTAAGCCACTAGGGAAGCCCCTTCACATAGGAAAACCTACCAGCTAGAGAGCACACAGCCTCAAGGCTACACCTGGGGGTGCCCGAACGGACAAGGGCAAATGCTCTTCAAGCTGTCACGCACTCCTTCCCTCTGTCAGGGCCCTCACCAAAGGGGCTGCCAGTTTTTCTGGGCATCGTGCTTGCCACTCCTTCAGACTCTAAAACTGCCTTGAACCCCTGAAATAAAATCCCACAATCAATCCTGTTAGTACTATGTCCAAACCCCTAACCCCTAGCAAACAAAAGAAGTCTAAAGAGGAATCTAAGTAGAAAACAAACAATTTTCATGGTTCTATGGTAGGAAGGCAGATATGAACTAGTTCATCTTTATAAAAATGTCATTTTCTAAAATACTTAACTTCTTTCTTTCTCCACAGTTTCGGTTAGGTTATTATGCTATCTGCTGTAATTGATTGTGATGTCCCTTTCAAATGGAATGTCATTAATGAGTACATCTTACAGGTGAGGACAACATGCCACAGTTAAGACGCTTTACGGGAGCACCATGGGGTATGATACATACTCCCCAACGGGCTGATACATGGACATCAACCCACCACTGCCACGAAACTTAGCAAACATGCTTTTTAAAATGCTGGTTGGATGTTTTACTTGACATGTGCTCCATTCCCAGCAGAACATGAATCAAATCAGTAAAAGGAGTCTAAACAGGGGCTGCTCTACATGCTCCACACGCCAGTGGACTGATGCTCAAGCACCCACACATGCACAGTCGCCTCCCCGGTATCGCTTACCCATTGCACTGAGATAATGGTTGAATGCCTGGCAAGGAGGGCTTGGGGTCTGTGTGGATTTGTCACAACTCATGGGTGCCGGGCTCCTGTCTGTGTCAAAAGAGAAATACCCACTGGAGGATCGAGACAGCAAGGAGGATCTTCTCACGAAGATGAAGAGCGGGGATCTGGTAGCGAAAGGGCCGGGGCTGGCCGGTGGGGCCAGCGGGCCCTGCGGGCTGCCTTGGGGGCAGCGGTCCCCTTCTCCTTCAGGATTACCTTGCCGCTCTGTCTGTAAAGAGGTGGGGGCCCCCGGTCTGAGCTGAGGAGGCCTCTCGGCAGGCTGCAATTGTCCACCTTCTCTGTCACACTCAGAACTTACATCGGAAGGTTGCTTTGCCATTTGGTCTTTTTTTCTGCAAGGAAAATTAAAACTAGGGTTATCTTAAGCAAACTAACAATTACAACGAATACCTAAATGGGGAAACTTTCACCTCTTCATGACAAATTCTTAGAATTAACACCCAATACTTTAACATTGTTAAAATCATCACTAATAGAATAGTTCTCCATAGGATCTTCCAAAATAATAGAAGTAACCTTAAAAATAAAGGTATCATTATTGGGGGGGGGGTGGTAAGGTGGGGAGAGGGACTAAACTTCCTGCCACCAAACAAAACAGCACCAATGTCAATTACTCCTGGAACTGGTGCTGTAACACGCACACACGTTTTAAAACAGGCTGCTTATTTGAGGTCTATTGACAAGTGTTCTTTGCCCAGGGCCCACTATAATAAGTCAGAAACTCCCCGCGGGCTCTGATTTCCCCGGATCAGATACAACACTGGAGCCCAGGAGCGGGCGCAGATGCAGCGATTGCAGGCGGCTGGCCGCGTTCCCCGCTCCGGCCCCATTGTTCTGCCGAAAGTGCTGAGGACAGCAAGTCTGGGGAAGGTTTGGCAAGGGCCGTCAGTCGTAGTAAGTGCGTCACAATAGAGTTTGTAACTCAGCGCTGCTCGGCTCGGCTCCGGCTCTCCACCCGCCCGCAGTCCCTCCCGCTCCTGGCCCGCGCGCCCCTCCTCCCGCGGTGAGGGGCGGGCGGGGGCGCGGGCAGCGCGCCACACCGAACACGACAGAACTTCTCCGAGGTACACCCGCGCTGTTGGGTGCACACCTCCGAATGGGAGGGAGGTCCCCCGAGCCGGCTCCTGGCGACCCCAGCCAAATCCACAAGTAACTCCTCACGCTGAGCGGCATCGAGGCGCGCGGCTCCCGCACCCCCAAAACCCTCCCTTCCTAAGGCAATTAGGCCGAAACTCACGTCCGCCCCTTCCCTTCCGAGGCGCGTCCGAGCCCGGGCCCCGCGGCGCCCAGCCCGCGCGCTTCGCCGACCTGGAACCCCCCGACAGTCCACACGAAGGCTGCGCGGGAAACAAAGCCCGAGACTCGCGCTCTGAACTCCCCCGGCAGCGCAGAGCTTGCAAATCGCCGTCCGCCCGCCGCCGCCGCGCTCCGCCGGGCAGCCGAGGGCTCCGCGCGCCTCGCCTGTGGCCCGCGCTGCCCCGGCCGCAGCAGCCGGGAACATCCTCCGCCTCCTCCCGCTCCTCCCCTCGCGCACTGCGCCCGCCGCCGCCGGCACCGCCGACCTCCCCGCGCCGCCGGCGCCGGGTGCCCGCGCTCCCAATTGGCCCTCGCGCGGTCGCTCGGATCCGCAGCCAATCGGTGGCGGCGGTGGGGGCGGCGCCTGCCCAACAGGCCGCCGAAGGCGAGGCGATTGTTGACAAACTCGCCTCCGAACGCGGCTCTGGCCCTGACTGCGGCGGGAGCGGCGGCGGAGGTTTCCCGGGCCTCTGGGCCCGGGGCTGCCCAGCCAACCCTGCCCCGCCCCTCCGTCAGTCCTGGCGCCGCGCCCGCCTCTGCAGCTCCCACCGCCCCCAAGAGCCGGTCACCTGGAGACAAAACCCGCAGGGCCGACCCCAGTCCAGGCCCACTAGGGTGGGCACCCTAAAGGCCACCCCCTCCTCAGCCGCAGCCCCCATCCTCCTTCGACTTCCTCCCTCTTTCTCCCCACGCGCCACGGGACACGCACCAAATGGCCACCGACGCGCACATCCGCAACAACCGCCAAGAAATATATCCACACCCCCATCGCCGGGGTCGAGCGGGCATTCCACTACCTGCGCCAACCCCGAGTAACAGGCCCCCGAGGGCACAGTACAGCCAGCCAGCCAGCCAGCACTGCAAGTGGATCGAGCGGCGCTTGGGCACACCCGAATCGCTAAGAGGGTCGGGCCCCACGGACCGGGCCGGTTCTACAGCCAGCGGCTCGTCCACCGCGTGCCCCCGGCGGTCGGAGGAGGCCCTCTTGTCTCTCGCTGTTTGTGGATCTTGCGTCTGGCATCGTCCGCAGAGCGCCCGCAGACGGGGCAGGGCCCCCAGACACGTCCCAGAGAGAGGACGAACGCAGCAGCAGCCCAGAACTTCGGCCTGAATGAGTAAAAAGAAAAGCCGAGTCCCGTCAGTTTAATCACCGTCGCTGTTCCATAAATACTTCACAACGGGCCAGCGCCCCCCCCTCCCCCCAAAAAAGCCGAGACGCGCGACCGACTGGTATCTCGCGGCCGCTACTTCGGGCCCGCCGGAGCTGGCGGGCTGGCTAGACTTTACGGCCGGGCTCTCAGCCTGGCCCGGCGCGGCTGCCCCCAGCTCCCCAGCCAGCGCGGGGCCGCACGCGCCGCCTCCCCCAGTCGGCACGGAGAGGTTTCACCATCCCGGGGCGCCGCATCCCCGCCCGAGCCGTTAAGTGCTCGCAGCCTCGGTGCGGACGACCATCCCCTGCCTGCGGCGCGAACTCGACCCGCACCAGTGACCGCCTCCCACCGGACAACACGCGGGACGAGAACGCGCGCCGCTAACCGCACGTGCGCGGGAAGCGGGCTGGAGGTGGCGCCGTGCTGGCTCCAACGCCAATCTTCCATCCGCACCCGGCCTGCTCCCCGGGACTCGAAAGTATTTACCTTGCGTTTCTCAGTTCGTGAATTAGGGTCAGACATTGGGGGGACGAGGGCCAGGGGAACGGCACCGAGGCGGTGGCACCGGCTGCGGCGGCGGCGGCGGCGAGAGAGAGGCGAACCCAAGCAGCCTGAAACGGTTCTGGCCACAGAGGGCAGGGCGCGCAGGGCGGCTGCGAGAACCCGGGGACCGCGGAGGCGACGGCGAAGTGGGACCGAGCGCTCCTGCAAGATCGAGACCTGGCGGCTGCGCGGAGCGAAGTGAAACCTGCGCGGCGCTACTGCCCAGCTCAGGCTGGCGGCCCCTGGTCCGGGCCCAATCACCGTGGGCTCCGCCCCCGCTAAGTCCCGCCCGGCGCGCGAGCTGGAAAGCCCCGCCCCCGCGGCGCCGCGGCCGCCCGCGCGTGCAGGCTCGGACAGGTAAAGGAGGGGGCGTCCCCGCCGACTTCCCCGCTGCGCGCGCCGCCGGCCCTGCCCTTGTCGGGCGTGTTTACCGGAGAGACTTGGGCTAAGGACTGCTCTGCGTGCCCCCATCCCCCATCCCAAAGTGCACTCTTTCCTCCCCACACCCCCCCCGCAATTCACTGGTGGCCGAGGCGTGCGAGTGGAACAGAGGGGGCGCTCCGGGCACACTCTGAGCCAGGCCGGGTCTCTGCCGCCCGCGGAGAGCCTCAAGAGGCGCCCCTGAGCCTTGGCTCTGCCTCGGGAGTTTCCCTTCTGACCCGTCCTGGGGCAGGCGCCGAGACTGGGTGGGTCCTCGGGAACGTGCAGGTCCAAGGGTGAAAGGGGTGTTTCTTAGTTCTCCTCCCTTCCAGATGAGGGGGCTCCGCGTTGGACCCCCATCTGCCGACTGTTCACCTTCCTCTCTCTCGCCTAACGCGGTACTCTTAGGCGCCCTCTCTAAAGCCACCCCCAGCTGCCTCCAGCTTTTCTCCCGCGCCAAACCTCCTCTGGTAAGAGGTAAAGCCTGTAATGGGGAGATGAGAAAATGACCCAGGGCGATCCCCGGATGTATTTTTCCGCAGCCCCGCTGCGAGGCTGGGAGTGAACGCTGAGCAGGTGAAATAGGGAAATGAAAAAATCTTTTAAAATCCTTTTAAGAAAAAAGGACTGGGAAGAGTCGTGGCCTCCAGATGGGAGACAGGATGGTGCCTCCACTTGATTGGGTCCTCGAAAATTGTCGGGCTCTCAGAGAACCGTCCAGGAATGGTCCCTTTGGCGTGTTAAGGTCAGAGAAGGCAGCGCGAGGGCCTCGGAGGGCTCATAGAGAGCAGCAGAGAGAGCGCAATATACCCCACCCTTCCTCTCTGCGGGTCCCTGTCCCCTTGTCCTTGAGAGTCCGAAGCCCCACTCCCGCTCCTTCCCCGGGAGACCAACGTCTGTGAACGCCGTGGTCCGCACGCCTACGGCCCTTTCAATGCGCACCCTGCGTCCCTACCTCTGCCCTTCCAAGACGCCCGCGGCCGGAGTAATGGAGGGCAAATAGGTTAGGAGATGGAACATCCCGTCGTGGGAGAGATCAGGCTAGATGGATTACAGACTCAATTTAGGGGCCTCCCTCACCCGAACCCCAGAAGAGTGCCTCGGTGCAGAGAAGCAAGTCAGCGAGGAATGATCCCGCCGTCTGGCCACCTTGGTCAGTTTCTATGTTTTATAAGCAAGTGCGGAACATTAACAGCACAGCCCCAGGTTTGTTTTCTCAGCGCATCCTCCCGTGAGTCCTGAGCGAGGTGAAGGAGGCCGAGGGGCTGGAGGACGCGCAACGGGCTCCACCCCGGGATTTCGCTGCAGGAGGGAAAGGACGCGCGCGGGTGTCCGCAGCTTGAAACTGCTATCGGTGGCTACAGGTGGCGGCCGCAGGCAAACTCTGAGCCTTAAGCTTCTATCGCGGCACTCGGGGAAAAGAGACCAACCTTCCGTGCCCGCGAGGAGCCCCAAACCCGCCGCGCGCCCGAGTGCTCCGCGCTCTCCGTGGGGTTGGACGATGAAGACAGGGACCGGAAAAGAACCACACAGAAGAAACCCTGATGGTTGTTTTTTGCTTCTCTGCAGCTCTGCCGCCCCCGCGTCGTCTGCTCTGGTGACCCTGTGAACACTTTAAAAAAAAAAAAAAAAAAGGAGTCGGAGAAAGTAGCCGGCTATATGCTCTTATTTGGGCCACAAGCAGGCGGTCGGCTCGGAGGTGGCAGTCCGCGCAACCCAGACTGTGCTGAGGAGCTTCGACCAAGGGCCTGGCGTCGGGTGACGGCGTACCCTTGACGCCCACTCCCGCAGAGCCCCAGCCTAGGGGAGGGCGGGTAGGTGTGAGGTCTTGGCTCCCGTCCTGGATGTTGCCCTTGCGGACAGAAGCAGAGCGGTGTCCCCTTCTGCCTCCTCCGCGAGATGTGGAGAG